GGCTGTACAGGTAAGAGTGAAGTTATCGTAACGATACGAGTCAGAACATGATGTCTCCAGACCAAGGAATGAATCGGGAGAAGCAGAGAAATTTCTAATCATCGGATCTATAAAAAATCACCATTATTAATAATATTTAAAAAGTACACTTATGCACTACATGTATGTACATGATTATTGAGCTAAACATTTTGGGCATCAAAATGTTTTGCAGCCATTTTATAGTACAGGGTTTTTAATAAAAAATTAAAATGATCAGAATTGGAATCAACTTAAAAGTTTTTACACAGCATAAAGGCTCACTACACATCCAAATACAAAATAAATTACATTAGAAGTAGAAAATTGTACATTACATACAAATGTTATACACATTCATGCATGTACAAAACATGCACATTAATACTTACCAGTAACAGTGAAGTTAACATTCATGTAATTAGTATCAGAAGTCATTACATATTCATAAGCTCGATCTGGTACTATAGTAACAATACATGTATATGTTCCTGAATCCTCCATACTGCTCAATGTAGTGAAATTAACAGTTGATCTATACTCATTGAAACCTGATCTCATCATAACGGAGCTGATATTAACACGATCTGTATCAGGAAGCCTCATTGAATTAGGACTACTCTCATCTCCAAAATCACCGCTACTCATGATCTGTTGATCAGTCATGTTCCAGGTTACATTAACAGTGAATGGTGTATCAACATTAGGATCAACACTAATATCACATGTTAGTACCAGGTTACTGCCAGCTAAGAAATAATCTTCTTTTGATTGAATCACATCAACAGATGGAATGGGAACTAAAATAAAATAAATTGAAAACAATTATTGAAAGGAATAAGTATACAATGTAATCAAAAAAGGAAACTGTACAACAAAATAACAAGCAAACACAATCACATGCTGCATAAAATACATGTAATTTTAAAATCCAAAATATTAAGGCATAATCACATTCAAAATTTAGTTATAATGTAGGATTGCAGGTACCGTATTTCCCTAAATAAAAGCCCGGGCGACTATTTCCTAAAATGGTATTTGGACCTCGAAAAAATATATAAAAAATTAAAAAACTTAGGCCCAGAGTGGGGTTCGAACCCGTGACCTCACACTTTTGACTTCTGGAACTTCAGGCATTATCCACTAGACTATTGAGTCACTCCTGGACTAATGTTGCGTATTTAAAGTTATATTCTATTGCTACCCTGGCGTTTATTCGAATGCAGCTTCTTTTTAAGGATTTACGGTATATGTATTATTACCTTGCTTTAAAAAAATTGCTTTACATGTACAATGTACATGTACTATTACATGCATTAAACAGTACTGCACATGCATATTTTTTCCCACAGAGATACATGTAGTACAGCAGAAATCGGTCAATTTTAAAAATGGGGTCATAACTCAAAAATTTTAAGTTGGAATCAGCTCAAACTTTCTACACATCATAAGGACATCAATATGTATTAGAAAATGTAATAAAAATTTGGGGTGATTTTGGAGCATTCTTTGGAAAAAAACATGGGCTATAGCCTTGGGTGTTTTTTAAAAATTACTCGTTTTGAAAATGACCATAACTTGAAAAATTGCATCAGAACCAACTCAAACTTTCTACACAGCATAAGGACATCAATATGTATCCGAAAATGTAATAAAAATTGGGAGTGATTTTGGAGCCATTTTTCAAGATATACCATGGGCTATACAAAACCTTTCAAAATTCTATTCAAGGAATGACAACTTCATTAGTATATGCATAATACATAGTGACACAAGCTACAATGCAATATAAACGTACAGCGTTATAAAATCATGACAATATTAATTATAATCATAATCATTGTGTGCTTACTTTCTAATGGTAAGTTTGATGTGTCATCATTCCTTGCTACCATAGATATCTGAGTAACATTAATGGAGGCTTCACAAGTATACAGACCAGCATCAGAAGTATTGAGAGAAGGGAATCTCAAATAAAGAGAAGTCATTACATTAGATACATTTATAAGAACTGGAGGTACACTAGTAACATTGTTAGCTGATCTCTTAGTCCATGTTATCACTGGTGAGACTATGAGTCTATCAACAACTGTCACTGTGCAATTTAACATGTATTCTTCACCAGGTTCAGCCATACCCATAGTTACTATCTCTACCACTGGCTCTGGAGTAGCTGTGAAAAGAAAAAAAATTCACAATAAGGTCACATTGCTGTGTACATATATTGGGTCATAGAAAGGTTTCAGATTACATAGTGGTAAGACCTCAAGACAGCCTTTAAACCAACAAAACTGTATTGGCTTCAACAATCAATCCACAATACATTCACTCACAGCCAAAAGAACAATATAATAAGCACATTAGCACTTACTGTTAACAGTAACAGTACATGAAACTAATAAAAGCTTTGGTACAATTACACAATACTGTATATACTAAATGTACACTTACCCATAACTGTAATGGAAGTGTTAGCACTAGCTGATGTATTCCTAAGATATGTGTAACTATTATCCACAGTCACTTCAACATTACAAGTATACATTCCACTATCATCAGCATTATCCAATGGATAGAACATTAATGTTGCATTATGATATAATGCATTGATCGTATTGAAACCCTTGGTAATAGTAGCATCAGATGAACCCATAGGAACATTAGTACCATCACGTGTCCATTGATCAGTGACAGTCACTGGTATAGTAACTAATGGATCTAACATTATGTCACATTTAATGAAGAATGGTGTCCCTGCATATAATGTATCATCACGTTCCTTTGATATAGTAACAATCACTGGTGGGACTGTAAAAAAGGTAAAGTATTTGATAACTCAAATTTTATTCTTTATTATTACAGTAGAGTAACTTACAGTCAACAGTTAAATTAAAGGTATCACTAGCCTCTTGAGAATCATAAGTAGCAGTGCTAGGATCATTGGCACCATTAAAACCAGTTACATTAAACTCAGCCATACATGTATACATTCCAGCATCTTCAAACCTCACTGGATCCAGTATTAGAGTATAGTTAGTAACTGAACCTGAACCAGTATCATTAGTTATGATACTGTATGGTCTATTTAAGTTAGAGAGCATTTCCATATCTGTGTCATTCATTTTAATGAAAGTAACCATTGGTGTTACTACTAATCTCTCAACTGTTCTTATGGTACATATTATCGTTAGACTCTGACCAACTTCAACTGAACCAACTGATGAGAAATTTACTGTCATTGGAGGAAGACCTAATAATAAAGAAAGAAAAAAAACAGGGTAAATAGGAACAAAAAAAATAATATAAGAGAATGTGTGTTTGTGATAGCAGAAGAAAATACAAAAAAGAGTAGGCAATGGAAGAGAAGTGTTCATTGTAGTACATGCATGTAAAAATTACTTTCAACAGTGACGTTAAGGGTAGTATTAGTAGGTTGACTTGATGCTATTAATGAGTTACCAGAACTGATGATCATTTGACAGGTATATGTTCCTCCATCATTATTAAGACCAGTATCAATAGGTTGAAACAATAGCATGCTTACAAGACTGTTACCAGTTGGAGGTATCACTTGACGTCTTGCTTCATTAGTTGGTATTACATTACCACTAGGATCAGTCCATACTACACTAGCAGTTACTGGTGTATCCACTATTGTAGTGTTTACTGTAGCTGTACAGGTTAGTAAGTAACCTGTACTCTCATATATTGGACCAGTTGGGGGATCAGCAACTATTGATATACTGGGAGGAGATACTATATAAAAAAAGAATGTCCCACACATGTAAATGATTTAAAATGAGCTACACTAACTTTGAACAGTTAAATCTCTGTTAGTACGATCTACAGTGCCAAATACTAGGATTGTTGCTTGACAGTAATATTGTCTAGCATCAGTTGTCTTCACTGGATCAAGTGTAAGTACACTGGTGAATATATTTCTATTTCTAACAACAGGTACTAGTGTAGCATCATTGTTTTCACTAGTCACATCTTGAGATGCTTCTAAATCATAAGTCCATCTGACACTAGTAAGATTCTCAACAAAATTAGGAGGTACAACTATAATACAAGATAAATTGAATACATCACCAGCAACAGGAACAGAAGGAATATTGATACTTATATCAACATGATTGATATCAAACCCTATCAAAATGCATGTAAAACTAGGTAAATATTAATCAATTCACTTACTTGCTACAGTTAATGTAACTGCACTGCTATTATCATTCCCTGCTATTATAAAAGGAGTATTAGAAGTCACACTAACTGAACAATTATAAGTAGCACCATTATCAAGTTCATCTCTTAAACTATTAATACGTAACACACCAG